TCTGATTTCAGTACCAGTTATAACATCACTGAGAGAGATGAAATACTACATGGCCTGTTTATGGACCATTTTGATCCAATTACTGTGAGGGATGTTGACAGGTTCCTGGGATCTATGAAGATTACCACTTATGCTCTGGATCCTTGTCCATTCTGATTGCTAAAATGACATAAGGACCACATTAACCAGTCATTGATGGCCATCATAAATCAGTCACTGACTCAAGGCACCTTCCCTTGGGCACTCATCCATCCACTACTTAAAATCCCATCCCTCCAGAAAAATGATGTGGTCATTGTTACCTTGTCTGTAATCTGCCCTTTATGGGCCAGGAGATTGAGAGAGTGGTAGTGAACCATCCCCAGGCCTTCCTGAATAGCTTGTGCTCTGGACCTTTTTCAGTTTGGTCTCAGGTTGAACAATGGGATGGAAATAGTACTCATGGCCTCAAATGATGTTCTTTGTCTGAATGTAGAAAAAGATCATGCCTCTTTGTTGCTCCTCCTGAATTTATCCACAGCCTTCAATACAGTAGGGCACACCACCTGGTTGAAATGTTTGGAGGAAGAAATAGGTATCAAGGAATGTTCTTGGATGGGTTTAAATTCCTTACGGACATGACTCAAAGAGTTGCTGCTGGAGACCAGTTATCATCAGTGTGGGATTTATCATGTGGTGCTCCATAGGGCATAGTCTTGTTCTACATGCTATTCAATCTGTTATGTAAATCCCTTAGGAGAAATCATTCATACTTTTGGAACGGGATACCATCAATGTGCTGATGACACTCAGTTCTATATCTCTCTATCAGTATCTCCTGGCAATGTGATAGAGGTCATAAGCCTGTTTGTCTATCTGAGTGTAGTTTTGCTCCGCCGATGACAAGGTGTGGGGATAGTATGCAATCGGAACCTCATGACCATCTGGCAGTTGGTGCCCCAGCACAGCCCCGACCCCATAAGGAGAGGCATCGCACGCGAGGATGACCGGGAGGGACTCGTTGAAGTGAGCGAGGACATCGTTGGAGGTCAGGAGTTCCTTGACTGCCTGGAACGCGGTGGCGGGCTTTGGGCCCCAGATCCACAGGACATGCTTGTCCTTGTGCGGCAGGAACGAGTGGTAAAAATTCAGCAGGCCCAGGAAGGCCTGCAGTTCCGCCTTAGAAGTGCATCTACGATGGCGTGGACCTTGTCGGGTGTGGGGTGGATACCCTGCGCGTTGACTGCAAACCCCAGGAACTCGACCCCTGGGGCTCCCAGGAGGCACTTTTCCCGCTGCTGCGTTGAAACAATGTAGGACGGCGTGCAGATGTTCTGTGAAGATCTCGGCCATGGGTGCCGTGATCAGAACATCATTAAAGAAGGGCTGGACCCCGGGTATACCTTTAAACAAACAGTCCATGAGGTTCTGGAAGATCCCCGGGGCCATGCTGACCCCAAACTGCAGCCTCCGTACCCGGAACGCACTCCTATGTGTCACTGTCGTCTGTGCCTCGGCGGTGGCATCATCCACAGGGAGCTTTTGGTACGCCTATGCCAGATCTAGCTTCCCAAAGATCTTGGTGCCCGCCAAGGAGGCCAAGACGTAGCTGATGATGGGGACAGGATAAGCGTGGTCCTGCAGGGCCTTGTTAATAGTGCATTTATAGTCTGCGCATATCCTGACATCCCCATTGGGCTTCATGGGAGTGATGATGGGGGTTTCTCACAGCGCGTGGGGGACCAGTTCCAATACCCCTGGGCCACAAGGTGGTCCAGCTCTGTGTCTATCTTGGGTTGTAGTGCAAATGGAGCCCGCCTGGCCTTCATGTGGATGGGGTGCACCGTGGGGCTAAGGGTGAGGGTGACCAGAGGGCTGGTGTATCGGCCAAGCATTCCATCAAATACAGCCGGGAACTCATCACACATCTTGTTAAAGTCCGTGGCTCGCACGTGGTGCACCCTGGTCACCGCGAATCCCAGGGCTCTGAACCACGTTAGTCCCAGGAGGCTGGTGAGTTGGCCCTCTACCAGCACTAGGTCTAACAGTCCATTAAAGTCTTTGTACTGCACCCGGAACTTGCCCACCTCCTTGATGGCAACCAGGTTTTTTTGAAAGTCCCTTCGTCTGAGCCCAGTGTTTACAAACGGCGGGCCACCCTGTGGGCAGAGGCCTCGCAGGGTCTCTGCCGAGATGATGGACAGGGAGGATCCCGTTCCAATTCCATTTCGCACGGGGCCCCTTCAATCATCACAGTCACTTTTATGACCATCTGGCAGTTGGTGCCCCAGCATAGCCCCAACCCCGTAAGGAGAGGCATCGCACGCCTCTGAAGTGAGCGAGGACATCGTTGGAGGTCAGGAGTTCCTTGACTGCTTAGAACGTGGTGGCGTGCTTTGGGCCGCAGATCCACAGGACATGCTTGTCGAAAAGGCAGTGCAGGGGCTCGGTGACAGCCGCCTTGTGCGGCAGGAACGAATGGTAAAAATTCAGCAGGCCCAGGAAGGCCTGCAGTTCTGCCTTAGAAGAGGGGGTAGGTGCATCCACGATGGCGTGGATCTTGTCGGGTGTGGGGTGGATGCCCTGCGCGTTGACTGCAAACCCCAGGAACTCAACCCCTGGGACTCCCAGGAGGCACTTTTCCCGCTTTACCTTCAACCCGGCTGCGTTGAAACAATGTAGGACGGCGTGCAGATGTTCTGTGAAGATCTCGGCCATGGGTGCCGTGATCAGAACATCATTAAAGAAGGGCTGGACCCCGGGTATACCTTTAAGCAAACAGTCCATGAGGTTCTGGAAGATCCCCGGGGCCATGCTGACCCCAAACTGCAGCCTCCGTACCCGGAACGCACTCCTATGTGTCACTGTCGTCTGTGCCTCGGCGGTGGCATCATCCACAGGGAGCTTTTGGTACGCCTATGCCAGATCTAGCTTCCCAAAGATCTTGGTGCCCGCCAAGGAGGCCAAGACGTAGCTGATGATGGGGACAGGATAAGCGTGGTCCTGCAGGGCCTTGTTAATAGTGCATTTATAGTCTGCGCATATCCTGACATCCCCATTGGGCTTCATGGGAGTGATGATGGGGGTTTCTCACAGCGCGTGGGGGACCAGTTCCAATACCCCTGGGCCACAAGGTGGTCCAGCTCTGTGTCTATCTTGGGTTGTAGTGCAAATGGAGCCCGCCTGGCCTTCATGTGGATGGGGTGCACCGTGGGGCGTCTGCGCATATCCTGACATCCCCATTGGGCTTCACGGGAGTGATGATGGGGGACCAGTTCCAATACCCCCTGGGCCACGAGGCGGTCCAGCTCCGTGTCTATCTTGGGTTGTAGTGCAAACGGAGCCCACCTGGCCTTCATGCGGAGGAGGTGCACCGTGGGGTTAAGGGTGAGGGTGACCAGAGGGCCAGTGTATCGGCCAAGCATTCCATCAAATACAGCTGGGAACTCATCACACATCTTGTTAAAGTCCGTGGCTCGCACGTGGTGCACCCTGGTCACCGCGAATCCCAGGGCTCTGAACCACGTTAGTCCCAGGAGGCTGGTGAGTTGGCCCTCTACCAGCACTAGGTCTAACAGTCCATTAAAGTCTTTGTACTGCACCCGGAACTTGCCCACCTCCTTGATGGCAACCAGGTTTTTTTGAAAGTCCCTTCGTCTGAGCCCAGTGTTTACAAACGGCGGGCCACCCTGTGGGCAGAGGCCTCGCGGAGGCTGGTGAGTTGGCCCTCTACCACCACTAGGTCTAACAGTCCATTAAAGTCTTTGTACTGCACTCGGAACTTGCCCGCCTCCTTGATGGCAACCGGGTTCTTTTGAAAGTCCCTTAGTCTGAGCCCAGTGTTTACAAGCGGCGGGCCACCCTGTGGGCAGAGGCCTCGCAGGGTCTCTGCCGAGATGATGGACAGGGAGGATCCCGTGTCCAATTCCATTTCGCACGGGCCCCTTCAATCATCACAGTCACTTTTATTTTGTCGGGGGGCGTCCTGGGGCAAGTAATTTACCTGATGATGGTGGACGTTGTGAAGCTCTGCTGTTTCCTGGTGCACGGTTGGGCGATACCGGTTCCCTCGGGATCTGCAGATACGTGTCCAATTCCATTTCGCATGGGGCCCCTTCAATCATCACAGTCACTTTTATTTTGTCGGGGGGCGTCCTGGGGCAAGTAATGTACCTGATGATGGTGGACGTTGTGAAACTCTGCTGTTTCCTGGTGCACGGTTGGGCGATACTGGTTCCCTCGGGATCTGCAGACACGGGAGATGTGACCTTGTTTCCTGCAGGTTCGGCACACCACGTCGCGGAGATAGCAGGTCCGACATTCATGCGCCTCCCCGCAGCTTGCACAAGCCGCTTGTGCGCTGGTAGTAGAGGGGTTTGGTTTTGAATCTTTGCGGGCCAGGCATCATACCTGTAGCACGTCTTCCTCGTCCGATGTGTCCAAGGCCGCTGCAGTGGACGTCTGGTGCATGGAGGGACACTGGTGATCCTGATGCGACTCCTCGAAAGCTGCAGCCAGGTGGAGGGCCTTCATCAACGTGAGCTCATCAGTTCCAATGAGCTTGCAGTGGAGCTTAGGGTCCCGGTCGCCCCAGATGAACTGGGTTAGGAGGGTGTCCTCGACCACCGGAAACTCACAGTTGATGGCCAGCCTGCAGAGTTTCAGCCATGAAGACGGCAACTGCTTCCCTGGACCTCTGGGAGCGCACCACAAAGTCCATGCGCTTAGCCATCTTGGTCAGTTTTGGCGTGAAATAATCGGTCAGAGCCTTGGTTAGCTCATTGTATGTTACTGTGTCCAGCTTCTTGGGAGCGATGAGGCCCTGGCCCAGCCATACCGTGGAGATGCCGCACATGCTCAGGAGCAGAGCCTTTTTCTTGCCAGCATCGGCAACTTCTTGGTAGAGGATTAAGAACATGAGCTGCTCTACCCACGCGTCCCAGAACTCAAGGTGAGCGGGGTCGAATGCCCTGATGTTTCCCTGAGCGGCAGCCATGACTCTCAGAGCAATGCAAGGCGCAATGTCCTGGGGAGTGGTGCACGGTGTGGTGCTTGAATTGGAGTTAGGGTCGCTCATCGGGATCCCATCCTCGTCGCCAGTATAATGTACTGAGTTCGGAGACGTTGAGTAGTGATCAGCTCATGGTGCATTAAGCAAGCAAAACAAAAGACAAACTAGCGAGGTCCGAGCCCTGCTTAAATCCCTTCAGTACCCCACACCCAACACACACCCCAACACCAGTGATAGGCTATTTACAGTGGAGGAGTCCATCATAGGTCTACTTTAGAATCCGGGCGCTCCAATTGGTCTGCCCTAGGATCCAATTCCTCTATTGTTCTAGCACCCAAAGGTGTGCTTGGCCGCATGGCCTCGCTAGCACTGATGTAATTATCTCAGTATATAACACTAGGAGAGAAGAAATACTGGTTCTTTCCATAGGATTGAGAGAGGATTGTTAAACAGTTGAATAGATCAGACACTTTTGCTGGTTTCCAGGAGTGGAAGTCCCAGGTATTGTTCCATGCTGTAGACTCTGGGTTATGTACATGAGTGGAGAGAGATCCCATGTAAGCAGAATTTCTTCAGTTCAAGCATGTGCTTATATCCATCCTCTTAATAGTTCCAAAGCAGGGCATCTAGCAGGTAATTCTTAGCAGCCAGTTGTTCCTGTTGTGCCCACGAATGCCAACTCTTTTTACTGGCCTCGCTCCTGTACCTCTCATGGAAGCTTCTCACATTGCTTTGCTCTCCATGCCAGGAAAAGCTTTACCTTCTAATAGTCCGTGTTTCAGGATTCTGTTCAAGGCTAAGGAGCAAATACCAGAAGGACAACATGTCAATCCCAGGCCTAGCCTGGTGTCACATAGTATGGTATGTCTACATGTCAGTCTGTATATTCTTATGTAGTATCATGACCTATGTAAGGTTCAGCTGCTGGTCGGGCAAAGTACCAAAGGTCCAGGGCTGCCTTCAGCCAGTTCATTCGTGTAGCTGAAGACATATTAGATTTATTGTTCTCTTGATACGAACAGTACTATTTTTATCCTTATAACCTTGCTTTGAGAATGTAATGAGAGTTGTCATTAGTTCACCAGGTACTGTTCATTAGCACAGTACATTTAGGGACCAATGGTTAGATTTAAAGGCCAATCCTAATCGTTACCTTCTCTATAAAAAAAGTCATGTGGAGGTCTAATCAGGGTTTCTGATGGTGGCTTCCAGTAAAAGGAGACTTTATATTGGGTAAGCATATCTTGTGTGATGGGCTTCCAATTTTATATAACATTCTCCCTATCAGTTTAAAACCTGATCTGCCATAATCATAGGGAATTGTAGCGATTATGTATCTAGCTAAGTTTAAGAAATATTAGCTCTTATTTCTTATTGCATGCATTTTTCTGGACATATAGGATTAATTTGCACCTGTTTATATTTGTCAGGTTCTTGCCTGATAAAAAGAATTATGCTTTATTTTAAATAAAGTCATTACAAAAGTTCTCTGCTTGTTCTGCTGGCAAAGGATCTGGCATCCAACCTATAACATTTCATTGTAATATTTTTCTCTCAGCAATCTTACTTAGTAGACCCTAATTGAGGCTTCTGCAGCTGTGTTCATCTAATGAGGCTTTAACTCTCCAAGAGCTGAATTCACTGTAGAGCTGTAGATTAGGTAGAAATTAAATCGTTTATCATACTGGTAGACAGAAGTGACAGGTGCATTTTATCATGCAGGAGTGAATAAAAAAACCCTGCAAGGAAAGTCTCTAGTTTCTTTGCAGCATTCCACAATCACTCAGGTTCAGTTTGTCTGGCTCCCACCTACAACAAAGGAGAAGGATGACAGTCAAGAGTTCCAATTCTTGAACCCATCACTGTAGCTGTTCCTTGATCTACAGTTAACATTTCATGCTGATTTGATACCAACCTGCTGATAATAATCAGAACAAACAACCACCAGGAAATGAGGGAATCTGATGGTTCCAGTAAGAACAGAGTAAAGTCGTCTTCTACTTTCCTATGGTTTATTAGAATAGTCTTTTTGAAAATTGGCCTTTATCCTAGACAGAGGCCCCATGAATGTGTGTTATAATGAAACCTGGAGATAGAAAACTGTGTTCCAAAAAATGGTGGGAAGGGAACAGCTAGGCTACGGGGCAGAGGTTTTTCCCATAAGGACCCCAAATATATTGTCTGGTATAGAGCTTGTCTTGGACCTGTATAGCCATGATCTTACAAAGCTGTACAGAACTCCATAAACAACAGCAGAGCTGGGAGGAAAAAACGTCCACCTTTTATTAGGATCATCTGTCTAATAGCCAAGGACTGGATCCAATATGGATTTTTAAAAATTGACCAATGGGGCCAGTCAAAGCTAGAATTTAGGAGTTAGCAGACCCAGGGGGGAAACCCCAGGATTACAGGGGAAAACACTAATTGAGAAGGTTCCCCAGATGTACAGAAAACATTACTTTGTAAATTAAAAAAAAGAAGACACCTCCCCCTAAGTAATGGCCCAATTAAGCCTGGACATGCTCTTTGCCCTCAATGAGGAATGGAAGGTTGAGGACGGCTGAGCATAGGGTTACCATGTGCCTACTTATGATAGGAGGGCTCCTGCTGGTGGGCCTGACCTTGGTCTCCAGACCAACCAGAGAAAAGTCCAGGGGCAAAGTGACTTTGTACAATGTGCAACTTCACATCCAGCTGAAAACTCAGATGGCTTATTGGGCAATGCTCTGGCCATCCCTGAAAACTCCATGGCGAGTACAGTCAGAGTATTGCCTGAGATAGTTACATCACATCTGGGTTTTCAACTGGATGTGACATCACATGTCATGTGACACCAGTTTTACTTCTTGCCCTAAAGCTCCTGGGCCTGGCATCCCTAGACTGGGCATCTGTTCAAAGGATGGGGAAAGAAGTTCAGGTGGCCCAATCTAGCCCTAAGAACTCAGAGTAATCAGGAGGGGAAAATTTGAATTAGGGGAAGATTTCCCAATGATCCCTCTTCTCTTCTGGCAATTTTTTTATTTTTTATAATTACAAACACTACAAAAGCGAAAGGAAGTGCAAAGAGAATATTAAAACTAAAAATGTGAATTACAAAAGTAAAGCAAAGATCATATTGCAGACAGTTAACCTTATTTGTCATTCCTGCAGTTTAACAATAGAAGAAAGAGAAAAAAATAAAAGGGTGATACTGTATGGCTTATTTCAAATATCAGTTAAGAAATTAAGCCCATTTAACCAACTTGTGTGTACATCGCAGACAATTATTTTACACAAAGAATAAACTTTCATTACATTAAAAAACAATTATTTCTTGTGATTATTTTTATCATATTTCATCTTAACTTTGAGAGTTTTAGGAGCTCCAACAAGTGCAAAGAGAATATTAAAACTAAAAATGTGAATTACAAAAGTAAAGCAAAGATCATATTGCAGACAGTTAACCTTATTTGTCATTCCTGCAGTTTAACAATAGAAGAAAGATAAAAAAATAAAAGGGTGATACTGTATGCCTTATTTCAAATATCAGTTAAGCTAAATTAAGCCCATTTAACCAACTTGTGGGTACATTGCAGACAATTATTTTATACAAAGAATAAACTTTAATTACATTAAAAGCATTAAAAAACAATTATTTCTTGTGATTATTTTTATCATATTTCATCTTAACTTTGAGAGTTTTAGGAGCTCCAACTCCTTTTTCAGAATCAGAACCTTCTGAAGAACTATCAACAAAACTTAAACTATCTTCTGTATCTTGATCACTCTTTTCTTCTTCTTGTATGTTGTTCCCTGTTTTCCTTTTGTCTTTTGTCGCTCTTAGTTGTTGTTCCAGGAAAATCTTTGCTTTTTGAGCAGAGTCAATCTTTGTCTTTTCTGTAGTTGAATATAAGTCCTTCTGGAAATGTCCATCTGAAGGGAATGGAGTGGTTATGCAAAAAGGAGGTTAAATTTTTATATTGCCGTCTCTGCTTTCGTATCTTAAATGGAATATCCTTCAAAATCTTTGCTGCTTCTTCTTTAATTTTCAGAGATTTCCCATTTGTCACTTTCAAAACTGCATCTCTAGTTGATCTTTTGGAGAATTTAACAAATACTTCAGCAGGTAGGTTATTTTTCTTAATAAAGTCTGGATAGGTTCGATAAACCAAATCCATATCACTTTGTAATAAATCTGCTTTGAAACCTACCACTGGTGCCAATGCTTTGCTTAATATTTCTTTTAAATTCTCCCCTTTCTGTTCTGGGATGCCCTGGACATGCAGAACTCACAATGATTTCTCCATTTGAAGCTGTAGCAATTGCTCTTTGTCAGAGATCCGTTCTTTTTCCACGATCTCCAGTCTTTGTTTGATAGAGTCTGTCTTAGCATCAACTTGTTTAACTGCTTTGTCAGTTTCGTCTGCTCTCTTGTCTGTTCCCATCAGTTGTTTCTGGAAACAATCAAGCTTATTATTGATGTTAGACATCTGGTCCAACAGAGGGCACAACGCCACTGCCATCATATTTGGGAAGTCAGTAACTACTTCCGGCTTAAGAGTAGAGGTCACTGAATTGATAGTTCCTGGAGAAGGTCTTTTTTTTCAACACCATTTTCTCTCCTCTCACCGACATTGGTTTTACTTTGCTTTGGGCTGTTTTGCACCCTGTTCGCCTTAATTAAACTTTCCTTTGTCGCTACCGTCACCTTTGCCTCCAAACTGCTGCTCAGGAACCACTGTTTTTCACAGGGGTACACAACACCCACTTTCATCCGGTGTGCACCTCTTCACCATATTGGCCTTGTGGCGGCAGGACCTATTGGAGTAAAGAGGTACCTCGATTCCTCGGCCGTCGCCTTGGAAGAGGCGCCCCTTGCATCCCAGGCTGAGAGCCTCCTACAAGGGCTCTGGGGGGCTCAGAATCACCCCGCATCCCCTCCCGCCCGCTGTGATTCGGGGTGCTCACATCAGAGCTCGATGGTGTGCACCCGACCGGGGAGTCACCAAAATCGCTCTTCTGGCAATTCTTCATGAGCCACCAATTGGTGTCATTCTTAAAAATGAATGAGGCCTCTTAGGGTGCGAGGTGAGCAGTCACAGATGCTGTACTTGCCTGACACAATCACAAAACTGTCTGAAGGGACTCCTTTATCCAGAGGTCCTACCTCACCCTTGGAATGCCTGCAGGCAGAGGGACAGAATGCGGCCAATACAACCCCTACTCCGTTCTCCACTCTTCCTCTTTGCCTTACTGAGGAGCAAAATTAAGAGTTCAGCTGCCCTCAGTGGTCAGGAAGAGAGGATGGACAAAACTCTCCAGCAGCCATAAGGAGACAGATTTATGTATTTATTTATTTACTTACCTTCCTTTCTCCCAAGTATCTCTGGACCCAATAATAAAACAATAAACCTTAAAACAACAGATATAAAACAGTGTAAAGCCAGCCTAGAAACACCTGATGTCCACACCAGCAGGGTGTTTCCCCTTTGTCCGGGCTCAAGCTGCCCCCAAAGTTCTCTAGAACAATTGTGTCTTTCAATATCATGGAATCCAGGAGAGTAGAAACTCCCACCAGCCCTCTTTAAGGAATGTATTTCATAGGCACGGGCAGAGGTCATTTCAGGGGGGAACACGGGGGAACGCAGCTCCCCCGGGTGAGGTGCAGGGGGACGGGGCACATGACGAAGCCCCGCCCCCTGCTTCCGGCCGACCCACTTCCAGCCCTCAATCAACCAGGAGGAGGCAGGAGAAGAGGGAGGGTAAGTTGCTCCCTCCCCGCCTCTCCCCACCCCTGCCTGCCTGGGGCCAGGGAGGGCCTTGGCGGGGCTTCCTCACACTCCCGCTGGCCTTGCAGGTCCACCGCCGGGCCCCTGATGTCAGGGGGTGTGGCATATGCTAATGAGTTATGCTAATGAGTTCCCCTAGCTCTTTTTCTACGAAATGACCCCTGGGCACGGGGCAGCCACTAAACAGTCCTTAGTCAAGGGGGGCCGGACAACAGGCCACGCTGGGAGGAATGAAGATGCAATCCTGCAAGATAAGGGGAGAGGAGGCAGGATCTTTGGGAGGGACTTGGTCACCTAGGGTTGCCAGGACCTCCCACCAGCAACCCTTTCTTCCCACAGCTGCTCCAAGCAGTGTCTGGAGAAAATATATTGCCAGTGGTGTACATGGTGTGACATCACACTGCTCTAGGAATCACCAGAAACTCTATGGTTTTACCATTGAGTTTTGGGAGATGCATACACCAATGTGTCTTAACATCTGTTTTTCTCTGGAAGTGATACCAAGCCATGCGCAACACTGATGCCCTCCATGCCACCACCAGCTGACAACCCTAAGATGGCCCAGGACAAGGCCATTTTCTTGCTAGAGTCTCCACAGTGATATGCCACCTGAGGTACCTGTAATGTCAACAACTGGCCCACAAACACAGTGCAGCAGTGCCTGGGAGTGAGTGGGAGCAGCAGTGGGCAGGACCTATCACCATATTCCTCCACTCTGGTCATTTGCTCTTGTTGTCTCCTAGAGTAGGTTTTTAGCATGCAGCCTGCCCAAGTCTGTTGAAGATTATGCAGTTCTTCTACCACCACCTCATCACAGCAAAGTGCTGGGGCTTTCCACAGGAAACCCTGACAGGCAGAAATCGAGTATCATTGGGCCCACGATCAGCCTCAAAACCACATCCCTCCTGCTTGGCCTTCCATTCTGCATATGAAGCTCTTCTGCACAGCACCCTCCTCGTGAGGCCCAGAACGAGGGGGATGGATGTCTCCAAGAAACCCAAGATGTTCCTGATGCTGGCCCTGCTCTTCTTGGGACC